TCTGTTCTTATGGTAGTACCATACTGTTTTGATTACTAGAGCTTTGTAGTCGAGCTTGAAATCAAGAAGCATGATACCTCCAGCTTTGTTCTTCTTTCTCAAGATTGTTCTGGTTATTTGAAATCTTCTGTGGTTCCATACAAATTTTAGAATTATTTGGTCTAGTTCTGTGAAATATGCTATTGAAATTTTGATAAGGATTGCACTGAATCTTCAGATTGCTTTGGGTAGTATGAACTTTTTAACAATATTAATTCTTCCAATCCACGAACACAGAATATCTTTCCATTTATTTGTGTCTTCTCTGATTTCTTTCATCAGTGTCTTATAGTTTTTAGTATTCAGATATTTTACCTCCTTGGTTAAATTTATTAGTAGGTGTTTTATTCCTTTTGATGCAACTGTAAAAAGGGATTTTTCCTTAATTTCTCTTTCTGATAGATCATTATTAGTGTATAGAAATGCCACAAATTTCTGTATATTGATTTTGTTTCTTGTGACTTTACTAAATTCATTCCACCATTTTTTCCGGAAAAGTCTTTAGGGTTTTCTTTTTTTTTTTTTTTTTGCGGTACGCAGGCCTCTCACTGTTGTGGCCTCTCCTGTTGTGGAACACAGGCTCTGGACGCGCAGGCTCAGTGGCCACGGCTCACGGGTCCAGCTGCTCCACGGCATGTGGGATCTTCCCAGACCGGGGCACGAACCTGTGTCCCCTGCATCGGCAGGAGGACTCTCAACCACTGCGCCACCAGGGAAGCCCCTAGGGTTTTCTATATATCATATCATGTCTTCCACAAAGAGTGACTGTTTAACTTATTCCTTTCCAATCTGGATGCCTTTTATTTCTTTTCCTTGCCTAACTGGTCTTGATAGGACTTCCAATACTATGTTGAATAAAAGTGGTGAGAGTGGGCATCCTTGTCTTGTTCTTAATCTTAGAGGAAAAGATTACATCTTTTCACTGTTGAGTGTGATGTTAGGTGTGGGCTTGTCATACATGGTCTTTATTATGTTGAAGTAGTTCCCTCCATACCCACTTTGTTGAGCGTTTTTATCAGAAATAAATGCTAAATTTTATCAAATGCTTTTTCTGTGTTTATTGAGAAGATGGCTCTTATTGTAGTTCCTCTCTGTTTCTTTCTTCTTCTCTTTCTCTCTTCCTTTGTGTCTCAATGGTTTTCTTTAGTGCTATGTTTAGATTCATTTCTCATTTTCTTTTGTGTATTTGCTATAAAGTTTTTATGTGTGTGGTTACTGTGAGGTTCACATACAGCATCCTATGTAAACTGTAGCCAGTTTTAAGTTGGTGGCAACTTAATTTTGAACACATTCCACAGCTTTATCTTTTTACTACCTCTCCTCACGTTTTGTACTTTTTTTTTTTTTTTTTTTTTTGGCGGTATGCGGGCCTCTCACTGCTGTGGCCTCTCCCGTTGCGGAGAACAGGCTCCAGACGCGCAGGCTCAGTGGCCATGGCTCATGGGCCCAGCTGCTCTGCGGCACGTGGGATCCTCCCGGACCGGGGCACGAACCTGTGTCCCCTGCATCGGCAGGTGGACTCTCAACCACTGCACCACCAGGGAAGACCCATGTTTTGTACTTTTGATGACATCTTTTTGTATGCTTCCCTTAACTAATTATCATAATTTTACTATTTTGGTCCTTTAACCTTCATGCTTGCTTTATAAGTGATTGATCAACTACCTTTATTATATATCTACCTTTTCTTAGTGAGACTTTCACTTTCATACATTTTTGTATTATTAATTAGTGCTATTTTTTATTCAGCTTAAAGAAGTCCCTTTGATATTTCTTGTAGGGCTGGCTTAGTGTTGATGAATTCCTTTAGCTTTTGTTTATCTTGGAAACTCTTACTCTCTCCTTCAATTCTGAATGATAACCTTGTTAAGAATTCTCGGTTGGACTTTTTTTCTTTTTAGCACTTTGAATATGCCAAGCCACTCTCTTCTGGCCTGTACAGTTTATGCTAAAAAATCTGCTAATAGCCTTGTGGGCTTTAGTATGTAATGAGTTGTTCTTCTCTTGCTGCTTTTAGGATTCTCTCTTTATCCTTAACTTTTACTATTTTAATTATAATGTGCCTTGGTGTGTGTGTCTCTTTGGGTTCATCTTATTTGGAACTCTATGCCTCCTGGACCTGGATGTCTATTTCTTTCCCCATATTAGGGAAGTTTTCAGCCACTATTTCTTCAAATAATTGTTTTGGCTCTTTCTCTCTTCTCCTTCTGGGATCCCTATAACGCAAATGTTATTTCACTTGATGTCGTTCCAAAGGTCCCTTAAGGTATCTTCACTTTTAAAATTCTCTTCTCATTTTGCTGGTCTGTCTGAGTGGTTTTCATTGCTTTGTCTTAAGCTTACTGATTCATTCTGCTATCTCATCCAGTCTGCTGTTGAACCCCTCTAGTGTATTTTTCAGTTCAGTTATTACTTCTCTTTGGTACTTTCTTATACTTTCTCTTTGTTGAAGTTCTCACTGTGTTGATTCATTCTTCTTCCAAGTTTGATAAGCAACTTTATGATCATCATTGAACTCTTTGTCAGGAGACTTCTTATCTCTATTTCATTTATTTCTTTTTCTGAGATTTTATCTTATTCTTTCAACTGGAACATATTCCTCTGTCTCGTTATTTTGCTTTAATCTCTGTTTTTATGTATCAGGTGAATCAGCTATCTCTCCCAGTCTTGAAGGAGTGGTCTTACTTAGGACATGTCCTGTGGGGCTCAGAAGCACAATCCTGCTTGGCCATCAGAGCCAAGCATTCAATGGCTGCCTCCCTATGTGGGCTGTGTGTGCCTTCTAGTTTTGGAGTTGTGGTGGTACACTGGTGGGTGGGGCTGGTCCCCAGACTGGCTGCAGTGCCCAGCCAAGGCACAGCCCTAAGGGTGGGGTTCCCAGCAGGTTGGGCCCACTGGCATAACAGATTAGAGGGAGAATTCCAAAATGGTGCTTGCCAGCGCTGACATTACAGACTAGCCCAAGATTGCAAAAATGTCTACTGCCAGTGTTTCAGTCCTGGGAGAGTGTCCCAACTGGTTCCTGCCTCTCCAGCAGATGCTTCGAGATTAGTAAGTAGGACCCCTTCGTCTATGATCCATGTGCTTTTCAATTGGCGTTTGTGTTCTGTGGGTCAACTGGTTTTTGGGTCTGGTGGGTCTGCATGTGAGCCCTTTAAGAGTGGGTTTCTGATCCCTGCAGCTCTATAGTTTTCCTGGACATATTCCCCATTGGTTTTCAAAGCCAGGTGTTTCGAGGTCTTGTCTCTCCTGTGTAGGACCTAGCGGTTGGGGTGCCTGATATGGAGCTCAAATATCCTTCTCCTCAGGGAAAAGATCCATAACCTGGTGATCGCTCCCATCTGTGGATTGCTGTGGCTGGGGTGTGGTTTTTTTCCCTTGCGCAGACTTATCTCTGCCTCTCCTACCTGTCTTGATGCTGTCCTTTAACCCTCTGTTGTGGAGACTCTATTCATCCAGTTTGCAGGTCCTTTCTGAGACAATTATTCCATATGTAGATGTAGATTTGTTGCGTCTGTGGAAGGAGGTGAGTTCACTATCTTCCTATGCCATCATAATGAACCCTCTCCTAGGACAGCCAATTCTTTATCCTCCCTGAGGTTCTATGTTATGAATCTTACTGGTAAATCTCTGTAAACCTGAAAGTTACAGCTTTCTCTGTTCTTTTAAGTCAGTTGTCACTCCTCAATCTTACAGAATTTATGAACATTTGTATCTGTTGTTATCTCCTCTTCATCCTGGTGGATTTATACCATTTTTATTCCTATGTTATAATTTTATTGCAGCTTAAGGAAGAATCAGAGATAAAAATATGTATTTAATCTGCCAATTTTTTTTTTTTTTTGGCGGTACGTGGGCCTCTCACTGCTGTGGCCTCTCCCGTTGCGGAGCACAGGCTCCGGACGCGCAGGCTCAGTGGCCATGGCCCACGGGCCCAGACGCTCCGTGGCATGTGGGATCCTCCTGGACCGGGGCACGAACTGGCGTCCCCTGCATTGGCAGGCGGACTCTCAACCACTGTGCCACCAGGGAAGCCCTAATCTGCCAAGCTTTGATTCACTTTTTTCCTTACATTTATTAAAAGTATTAATTAGGTTATGATTTACCTCTTATGATCTGATGTAGAATTCACCTGTATTTCTATAAATTTTGAGCTTTCTTATTAGCTGGGTGCCATTTTTTTTAATGAAATCTTTCACTTTCTTGTATAGCCTTTAAGTGGTATATGAGTGGCCATACTTCCTGGCTTATGATCTTTTGGGGGAACTGTAAATGCATTGCTGTGTTTTATTATCAAATGAAATTTACAGTGTCCTGTTCCACAGAATGAAACACAGAAGGATTTCACAGGCACTCATTCAGATGGAGCACAAATCTAAAGTCTACATGCAAACTTCTAAGAAATCACCTTTTGCCATCTTATGTGCAGTCCTGTTTCCTGGGCTTCTAGAAGAATTGATTTTGTTAAAAATAATCCCAGACGAAAATCAAAAAGAAGCATCAGTAGTCTCTCAATACTTTAAGTTGTTTAAAACTATCTTAGCAGGAGAGTTTGTGCTGCTTTATGAATTCTAGATGGCTCAGTTTCCTACAGAGTATATTTATTAATTGTTTAATGAGTAATTAATATATTATTTCCAGTCTCTTTAGAAATAATATGAGGAATAACTCAATCATCTTTCTATTTTAACATGATCATTAGAAAATTAATATAGTAAAATAATTTCAGTCAAGATGAATAAGCTCTAGAGATCTGCTGTACAACATTGTACTTACAGTCAACAATAACATATTATATACTTTAAAATTTGTTGAAATAGATCTCATGTTAAGTGTTCCTTCCACAATTAAATAGAGTAAGATAAATTTTCAAAAACCACTACCATGTACTCTTACTGTCCAAAGGCATGTCTAATTTTTTAAAAATTGAAGAACTAAAAAATCTTGATAGCAGCTTGAACATACCATCTTTATCAGCAGTGTCTTGAGGCCTGCATTTTAAAGTGAAGATCTTCCGTAGCTTACAGTTAGCTGAGACAATAATTCCATCCAGTGACTGGAAAACTGCTCCTTTGAATATTTCACTGGTAAATGCCACCAGGTCAATGCACAGATTGCACCACTAAAATTAAAAAGGGAAAG